AAAAAAAAAAAAAAAAACAAACATGAGCCCCTGCCCTTAATTTTGTTTTCCTGTTGAGCATGATGAATGTCTGTAATGATAAATCAGCCTGTTCTTCCAGGTTACGGAGTGGTCCGTTCCATCACACTTCACCCTCACCCATGGTGCATATGGTCTTGATATAATTTAGGAAAAGCTTAGTATTCCTAGGAGAAAAGAGCACAGATGTTATATGTTACATATTCTACAATGTTTGAACTGATTTATTTTAGTCAGTAGTTTGTTCTGCTTTTTGTGAGACAGGTCGCACTGTGCAGTTCAGACTGGCCTCAAACTTTTTTAAAAACACTTTTTATTTGGCACAGGGTCTCACTATGCAGCTCAGACTCCTGTCTCAGCCTCCCCAGTGCTGGGATTACAAGCATTCGAACTCAGGAGCTTGGGTTTGCCAGGCAGGCGCTTGTGCCAATGAGCTAAAGCTCCAGCCCTCTAGTTGTAATGTTTTAAGGAACCTCCATGCTGATTAATACAATTGTTGTAGTAGCCTACATTCCCACCAACAGTGTAGAAGGGTTCATTTTCCCCCTCAGCCTGGCTAGCATTTGCTATTATTTGATTTATTGTGATAGCCAGTCTTTGTAAAGAAAGAATGTTGTTTCATTGTTGTTTCAATTTGTATTTCTCTAATGGCCAGAGATAGTGAACATACATTTATTTATTGATTTATTTACTGGCCATTTGTGCTGCTTTTGAGAAGTATCTGTTCATTTTTGTTACCCTTTTGGGTTGGGTCTTTTATTTTGAGAAGTCTGATTTTTTTTTTTGAATTTTTTTTTGTATTCTAGATATTAGTCTTTGTCCAAAGAAAAGCTGCAGAATTCTCATTCTCAAAGTTAGCTCGTTACTCATTTCCTTTGATGTGCAAAAGCTTTTTATTTGACATAATCATGTTTGTTGATTCTTAGAGTTACTTATTGTGCAGTTTTCTTGTTCAGAAAACTCTTGCCTATGCCTGTGTCTTCAAGAGTGTTACCTATTTTATCTTCCAGCAGATCATTCTGTTTTAATATTTAGGTCTCTGACCTGTTTTGTTTTATTTTTTAGGGGAAATCGAATTGATTTTATTTGGGTATGTGGGGAAACACTCAGAGTCTTTGCACACAAACCAGTCTGGCCCTCTGGATTTTACCAGGCGGAGTGGAGGCTGCTTCCCTGTCTGTTCTTAAAGGAGGTGCTGAACTCTGGAGGGGTCCTGACAGGGCTCGAGGCCCAGTTTAGCTCGCAGAATAGGCAACAGAAGCGCTTCTGTGCATCGCCTTTCTGTCTGCGCGCTCGTTGGCATCTGCTTTGTGTCAGACCCTGTGCTGGTGGCCGCTTTCCCTGCAGATGTTTTTCTTTTATGTATTCTTGCCTCTGCCTCTACAACTACACCGTTGTGTTTCTGTACCTAGTATCTTAACCGCCCTCTCCCATGTTTCCGTTTGTTCTTCTCACTTCTGTTTGGACCACAATAGGGAATTAGAGTCTAAAAAGTATTTGTTATATCTATTAAATAAACCCCCAGGGCTGGGAAAATAGCTCAGTAGAATAAGTGCTGCCTGGCAAACACAGAGTCCTGAGTTCAATCCCCGATACCATAAAAAATAAAAATAAACCCCTATTTCCTGTAATACTGTGTCTCAGGAAGAAAGAAAGAACTTAGTATTTTATTTGTTTTTGAGACATGGTCTAGCTGTGTACTTGAGGCTGGCCTTGAACTCACTGTCTAGCGCAGGCGGCCTCAAACTTGTAGCAGTCCTCCTGCCTCAGCCTCCAAGTGCTGGGATTATAAGCATGTGCTACCATACCCAGCAGTGCTTTGTTATTTTATAAAATTTTGTCTTCATTACATTCTTTCTCTCTTTTACTGCTGCACACACAGTGAATAAACAAAAGCTTCTGACTATTAGAAGAATGAAGGGTCCGGGGAGCTGGCTCAGTAGAATAAGTGCTTCCCTGGCAAGCGCAAGGGCCTGAGTTCAATCCCTGGTTCCGCAAAAAAAAAAAAAAAAAGAATGATATTGGTTTTTGTCTTGGCTGTAATCTTAAATTCTGTATTTTTCTAGTCTATTATAATGTGTCTATTCATTATTTTAATTATCTGAAGTAATGAAAGATCCTAAGTCATCTTCTAAAGCAGAGGTAAAGTAAGTACAGAACTTTGGGCTTCAAGAAGCTTTTGGTCTGTTGTGACTACTTAACGCAGGCTAGCACAAAGCCAGCCAGCCATGGGCTACCTGTCTTGGTCACTGTCTCAGCCAGAGGACAGCACCTGATGCCGGCCACTTAAAGGAGATGGAGTTAACTCGGCTCATGTTTTTCAGAGGTCTCAGTCTGCAGGCAGCTGGCTACAGGGCAGAATGAGCTTTGTGAGTCACATTGTGAGGGACAGCAGCTCCCTTCACGACGCCAGGAAGCAGGGAGCCAAGCTGAAGCCTGGGAGGGAGGAGCCCCTGGCAGCTGTGCCCCGGGCCCCCTCTGCTGACCGACCCATCGCCTAGCCTCACATTCAGCTATAGCACACCGTGATTCGTCACCCATCTAAAAGCCCTGCATCTGAGCACCTGCGCCTTTGGGGAGACATTGAGATACAAACCAAAACACTGTGTAAATGAATGGCCAAGCGTGGTGGTGCACACCTGACATCCCAGTACTTGGGAGGCTGATGCAGGAGGATCACGGGGAGTTCAAGCCCAGTCTGAACTACACCATGTGACCCTGCCTCAATGGATAAATAAATAAATAAATGCACAATCATAGCATTAGAGCTGTGTTCCACTCAAATTTTATTCACAAAATCAGTTTGCCAAACCCTATTCTAGTGTGACTCTCAAAAATGACCATCTCAAAAATTCATATGTAATTCAGCTGCCTTTTCCAGCAACTGTTTTTAGGGAAAATAACAAATGTTGCTGCCAATTTTTTTTTTTACTCCATTAACTATTTTATAAAAACTAAAGCAGAAGCCAAGGTGGTGGCGCATATCTGACATTCCAGCATTCAGGAGGCTAAACCAGGAGGATTGCTACAAGTTTGAGACTACACTGGGCCAGCCTGAAACTGTGTAACAAGACCCTGTCTAAAAGAGAAAAAAAATGGGCCAGCCAAATAGCTCAGCGGATTGAAGCGCCTGCTTAGACAGATGCCCTAGATCCCTCGCATGTCATACTGGCCCCGACCCCGGGGCATGCTGAGAGGGCAATTGAGGTGGGGCGTGGTGGTGCACACCTGTAATCCCAGCTCTTTGGGAGGCTGAACATGGGGATCACTGAGTCCAATCTATGTAGTGAGACCCTGTAGATCCTTACTAAAAATACAAGAAAGAAACAAACTAACTTTAATGCTGAAGAAGAGCTGGGCATCATGATACGCACCTGTAATCATAGCTATGTAAGAGGCTAAGGTAGGAGGGTTGCATAAACTGGGATTACAATCCTGTGCCACTGTGCCCAGTTGTGTTCTGGGAGAGGGAGAAGGTGAGGTATAGGTGGGGGGAGAGGGAGGGAGGATGAATTCTAGGCAAAGCCAAATACCAATGACAAGGTAAGAGAAGAGCATAGGTATTAGGGTTGCAAATGGCACTAGTAAGCATTTTGGCTTTAGCTGAACAGATCGGAGGCTTTCATGAAGCCACCATTGTTGTCTAGACCATGCAAGGAGGCTGCGGCTATATTCTACCTTGTTCTGAACACTGGTTTGCTCACACATGGACAGTGCCTTCTGAAGAAGACACCCGTGACTCCTCAGAATGCATCCCGTTCCATATGCGTGTCCGGAGTCGTCACGTGCAGGCTCTGGTTACCGTGCAGTGTGAATACTAGAAGTTAGGCAGATCAGTGTCTCTAGGCCCATCCAGCTTAGTTCTTGGTAGGCCAGTACATGGAACCTTATGCTTTAGCTGTGTGACCATCTATTTATTGTAGGTCAATTTGAAAGCAAGGCCAGCTCCCTGTAGATCTCTCTGAACGCATTTGTAACTCTTTTTAGTAATATATAGTTTTCAAGCAAAGGACAGTAAGTACTTGACAAATCTGAATATCAGAAAGGGAAAAGCACTCTTTCGAAGAAAACCCGGAGAGTTGACATCTGGGTGCAAGAGTGTTACTCTTTTGGTTTTGTCTTGCAATACTGGATTATGTTTGCACAGTGCTACAGTGCTACTTCTCCACCCCTTGTTTATTGTTTCTCTTGAGATCGGGTCTTGCTAAATTGTGCAGGCTGGGCTAAAATTTGCAGTCCTACTGCCTTAGCTTCCAAGGTGCTAGGATCGCAGGTGTGCACCGCCGCACCAGTTATGTTTTTATATATATATATATATATATATATATATGAATATGACAGGGTCTCATTACACAGATCAGACTTGTGGTGATCCTCCTGTTTTCAGCCTCCCAAGCATTGGGATTACATGCGCCACCATGCCCAGTCTCAATCACTGACTCAGTGCGCCCCCGGGGTGGGGCCAGCATGGTTCCTATGCCTGCCTAAGAAGGTGCTTTAGTCTGCTGAGTTATCTGGCCATCCTCACACCAGTCTTTTAAAAAATTACTTATAACCATTCTTTCTTGGTGACCTGACTTTGTCAGTCAGATTTACCTTATCTGTTAATGGATTAAATACTAAGCAGATTAATAATAGCAACCCCAGAGCTTACCAGCACTGTTCCCTGCTTGTTGGACACACAGGCAAATCTAAGTGCATGTATCTATCTGTATTTCAAAAACATAACTATAAACTGCTAAAAAGAATTAGACCGTTTGACTTCCATTCCAGGTTTAGAGATTTCCAGGCTGGACCTGCAGAGGTCTTCACAGCCTTGTCACTGGCACATCTAGGCAGCAGGTTCTGCAGACCACACACTCGTGTCTCAGCTAAGTGCAGACGGCTAGTGAGGACATCCACTGTTTGGGATAGGCATTTGGTTCTGTGGATGGTGCGCATTGATGTTTAGGGTGGTATAAATAGCTAAATTTTTTGAAATGTTCCTTTTTAAAACAATGTACTTTTATGAAAATATAGTGAGAAATGTCATGTGGTGCACACTTGTGCACATTTCTTTTTAAGAAATCACCTACTGTTGACCTGTCTGCTAATATATTTAGTCTTTTCTGGTAGTACGTGTCATATACCTTCCAGGAAACTCTGCTGTATGCTTTTGAGAGAATGAGAGTGAAATAATTTTTAGCATTATTAAAATGATTTGAACATTAGAGAGCCTGAAAGGATCTCCAAGCTCCAGACCTCAGTTGAAGAACCGCTGTTGAGAACACACGCGGTGGCATGCCTTTCATCCCAGCCCTCAGGAGGCTGCAGCAGGAGGATCCTTGAGAGTTGGAGACCAGCCTGCTCTAGAAAGTGAGTGCAAGGCGAGCCTGAGCTGCACAGCAAGACCCTGTGTCGGAAAGGAGAGAGACAGACAGGCAGGCAGACAGGCCAGATACCTTGAAACCATGTAGCTCTGTTTTTACCATCAGAAACAGAAGCATGTCTTTGTCATATTTTATACTCATTAGATGAAGTTACTGTTGTAGTTTTTAACAAATAATTATTTGTGGATCAGGAGATTATGGTTTAAAATGAACTGGTTCCCCCACCACACACACCCCGGAACCGGGGATTGAACTCAGGCCCTTGCACTTGCCAGGGAAGCACTTACTCCACTGAGCCATCTCCCCGGTCCCATAGTGAAGTGATTTTTGTTTCTTCCTTCCATCAGGTGTGTTTGGTGTCAGAAAACAGTACATGATGAGTGCATGAAAAACAGCTTAAGGAATGAAAAGTGTGACTTTGGAGAATTTAAAAGCCTCATCATTCCACCGAGTTACATAACAGCCGTTAATCAGATGCGTAAAAACAAGAAAACAGATTATGAAGTGGTAATTAGAGTTTATTTTTCTTATATGATTGATTTTTTAAAAGTTGTTTAAGTCAGTATGTGCAATTGTTTATATATATATGAAAAATCAGGGAGAAGAATGGGGGAAAAAAAGAAACAAGATATATCTTATACAGGTACAAATTCCTAAAGATGTGTGTGTGTGTGTGTGTGTGTGTGTGTGTATATATATATATATATATATATATATATATATATTGCACTAATGAAATAAATAAAATAAGATGCACTAATAAAAAAATAAAACGGATAAATTTTTGGGCAACCCACTTGGGTCCCCCTTCTGCCCCACTCTTGGATTGGAGCTTTCTTTTCCCCCCAATAAATATATTCTGCTCTAAAAAAATAAGATATAATTTAAAAAAAAACCACAACCCAGATGTTGATTTACAGACAATATATAAAAAAAGAAAAATTAGGGCCAGAGATAGATTTAAATAGACGATAAGCACCAAAGGGAGATACAGACTGTCCTTATGGTAAACCGTGAAATCATTACCAGTTCCTAGAGATGTGTCACACATCTTGGTTCCTGAGTTCTCTCATGCATAGAGGGACACTGGAAACATCCTAGTAATTTCTAAACCACTCGTGTTAACCTATTTAAACACTGAAGTTCTTGGCAGGGTTTGCAGTGTGGACATGTGTATAAAAATTGGTGTAAATTTAATCTGTCTTTAGCCAGTTCTTAAGAAATAGTTATACAGGGCCGGCCAGATAGCTCAGTGGAGTGAAGTGCCTGCTTAGGCAAAGCGCAGGGACGTGCCATGCCAGCCCACCCCCTGGGCACACTGAGCCCGTGTTTGAGACTGAGTGTGATAATGCCTGTAATCGCAGTGCTTGGGAGGCTGAAAACAGGAGGACCACCACAAGTCCGCTCTGTGTAGTGAGCCCTGTAGACCCTGTACTAAATTTAAAATAGTAATAATAATAATAGACTTATCCAGGGGTGGCAGTGCACACCGATAACCCTGGGACTCTGGGAGACCAAAGGAAAAGATCAGCAGTTCAGATCCTACCTTGGGAACTGCATGAGTCCCGAGGCTAAGGCTGTAGCTCAGTATGAATGCCCGGAGTTCGATCCCTAAAACTGTATCACTCCCCCTTAAAAAAAAGAAAAACAATTTCATACTTGAATATGCCAAAATAATTGAGCTGCTTTATTTTACAGTTAATTGTCTTTTTTTTCAAGTTAAGAATTTGTATCTTCAGTGTTATCTTTATTGCTATTCCTACAAGGAAAAGATGAAACTTTACGTTTTGAGTTGGGAATTTTATTAGAGAGAGGTTGACTCAATATGTAGTCAGGCTGCCCTGGAACTCCCAGCAGTCTTCCTGCTTCAGTTCCCGGTACTGAAATTATGGGTGTGTATCACTTTGCCTGGTGCTTTTTAAAAAATTTGGGAGGCAGAGTTTGAATCAGGGTCTCCCTATGTAGTTGAGGCTGGCCCTCTATTCACTGTGTAGCTCTTCACAATCCTCCTGCTTTATCTTCTCAGGGGATTTAAACTTTAATGTGATACTTTTTTTCTTTTAATGTACAATCCCTTATTTGAATTCACCGTGAAAGCATAATTCCAGTGCTCAGGAGGCTGAGATAGGAGAATCACTCTGAGTTCAAAGCCAGCCTCTGGGCTACAAAGTAAGACCCTGTAAGACCCTGTCTCAAAAAAAAAAAAAAAAAAAAAAAAAAAAGACAATCCCATCATGTGTGTGCAGATATGAGAACCCGAACTCTTCTGGGTCTGGGTCTGTGCGGTCCGATAGGGGATACAAACCCTGTAGTGCTTCAGGTTCAGCCCTGCGATGACGTGAGAAAATAAATGACTTCTGGCTGAGCTAGAAGCACAGTTAGAACAACGAATGCACGGGCTGAGAGGCGGATTTTCAACTCAGGTCGGAACATCCTGCCACCTTGGTATAGCCGCGGGCTGTGCTGTCTGTTAGTGTGAGTGTGGAAGCGTGTGCTCGAGGACTCAGAGCGAGGCGGGAGAGGACCCTCCAGGAGGTGGAAGTAGTCTCTTAAGGTCCTCTCCCATTCTTAGAATTGCGTCATTTGCTTGCTATACTGGCATAGTTCTTATTTCAGTAAATTACAGCATGATTAAATTAAATTATAGCATGTTATAAAAAATAAAAATATGTTGTGTTCGCTATCTCTGAAATACTAAACACTTCATTCATATAATTTTTTTCAGCTAGCGTCTAAGTTTGGACAGCAGTGGACCCCATTAATAATCCTGGCCAACTCTCGTAGTGGAACCAACATGGGAGAAGGACTGTTGGGAGAATTTAGGATCTTGTTAAATCCAGTCCAGGTAACTGAACTTTCCTTCCTTTTGCTTTTTTTAAAGGCATCTGCGTTTCCATGTTTCCATGTTTATGGCAGCACAGTTCACGATACGAAATCAGCCTAAGTGACCGCCAACAGAGGAATGTGTTCTTAATTTTTAAAAACTATTTATTTTTTTTTTCATTTATTTCTTTATTTATTTGGTACAAGGTCTCTCTGCTATACAGCTTGAACTCATACTGGTCCTCCTGTCTCAGTCTCTGCAGCACTGGGATTACCGGCATGCGCCACCACGCCTGGTTTCAGTGGCCGCCTGGCGCCCCGGGCGGGGCTGGCAAGGCATGCGCTACCAGGGATGGAAGCGGGTCCAGCACTTACTTGCCAGGCGGGCACTTAGGCTGCTGAGCATCTCCCCAGCCCGATTTTCTTTGCTTTATCCATCTTTAATTTTAGTTCTTCAATTCCTAAAGTGCAATGATTATTACTACTTTAGTCACTAATCACCTAGTTATAGGAAAGAATAAATTGTAAAAGGATTAAGCCTTTCAGATATGTGGAAAAATGGAAATCAAGTCACCGAGCGATCCCACTTGCGGGAGTCCTCCCAAGGAACGTGGAGACACATCCCACAGACCTGCATGCACGTCTCCACAGCGTCCTTCACAGTAGACGGCGAGTAGGACCACTCGAATGGCCCAGGTGGTGAGCGGATAAGGCATATTCCCCCGTACGGGGGAATACTACTGAGTGGCACAAAGGAGCCAGCCGTGTATACAGTAGATAAAGTCCAGAGAACGTTATACCGAGTGCAGGAAGACAGGAGGAGGGACCACATACGCTTCCCGCTCGGTGATCCCCAGAGAAGGCTGTCAGTAGAGACCTAGAAGTCAGCCTGGGGCTGGGGCCTGACACGGGGAGGGACTGCTGTTGCCTGAGGAGGCAACAGCATGTTCGGGCGGTGCCCTGTGCTCTCAGTGTTCTGGGAGGCTGAGGCAGGAGGATCACCGAGTTCCACACAAGCCTGGGCTACAAAGTGAACTCAAGACAAACCTGAACTGGGCTGTAGTGAAACCCTGTCCCAAAAGGACAAAAAAAAAAAAAAGCTCGACCAGTAATACAGATACAAATGTGTGCTGGCATAGCTGTCTCCTCAATAGTATAGATATTATATAATATACATAAAAATATATAAATATTTTCCCGGTTGGAACAAAGTCCTAGTAATTACATTTCTACATATCTTATAACTAAGATAATTGAACACATAATTTATCCAGTTTGTACTATTATAAGGAATACTGAGTCTCTTTTTTTTTTTTTTTTTTTTTCCTTTTTTATTGTTTTGTCTTGTTTTTGAGATGGGATCTTGCCATGCAGTTCAGGGTGGCTTTAAACTCACTCTGTAGCCCAGGCTGGCCCCAACTCACAGTGATCCTCCTTCCTCAGCCTCCAGAGTGCCAGGATTACAGGTGTAATCAGGTTTACACCAAGGCTGTGTTGCTCAGGCTGGGCTTGAATTTAAGATCCTCCTACCTCAGCCAGCCAGAAAGCTGGGATTACAGGTGTGCACCACCACACCCCGCTAATTTTGTGTCCTGAAATAATTTCCCCAATCTGGTTGTAGTGATGAATACCTATAATTCCAGCACTCTGGAGGCTGAGGCAAAAGGCTCACTGTAAGTACAAAGCCAGCCTGGGCTACATAATAAGTTTAAAAGTCCAGCCTAAACTACATAGCAAGACCTTGTCTACAAACAAACAAAAAACTCAGTATTTTTCTAGAGTCATTTATGGAGACCAAGGGGCCTTATACTTTTTTGTCATTTTATATTTTGCAAAACTTTCCCATAAACTTGTAGTAACTTTCACTAATAATGTTTTTTAAAAGCCACTAGAGGCCAGGAGATGTACCTCAGTGGTACATGTGAGGCCATCGATTTGATCTATCTCCAGCACTGCAAAATAAATAGATAAATTATGAAACTAGTGAACTGGTAGAGTTTTGTTTTGTTTTGTTTTGTTTTGTTTTGTTTTTTGGCGGGACCAGGGATTGAACTCAGGCCCTTGCGCTTGCCAGGCAAGCACTTATTCTACTGAGCATCTCCCCGGCCCCTGAAACTAGTGAAAGGTGGGTGTGGTTTCATGTGAGCTGAGAAAAGCTAAGGTAACATGATGAGCAGCTGAATCTGTCTCAGTATTTCATTATCTCCAGAAAGACAGCCAAACATGAACCTTCCTGTGCACAGGTCCTGACCCTGGAGCGTGGAGCGGGGCTGGGACCTGGCTTGTGGCCGCTGCTGTTACCTAGCCCCCGTCCACTCCGCTACAGGAGAGTGTTCCTCGCAGCGGGAGGGCAGAATGGGATAAAAGTAACTTTTCTCTCGTTCTTTCATTCTAGGTTTTTGATGTAACTAAAACTCCTCCTATCAAAGCCCTGCAAATTTGTACTCTTCTTCCCTGTTATTCAGCTCGGGTCCTGGTTTGTGGAGGGGACGGTACTGTGGGCTGGGTCCTGGACGCAGTTGATGAGATGAAGATTAAGGTATCCCCCTTTCAGAATTGTACTTTTGGGCTAGGGTGTCACTCAATGCTGCAGGGCCTGGAGTGCCCACTGCTGTCCAGCACACACGTGGCCTGGGTTCTGTCCACCGTGGAACCACAGAAGCATCTCTGAGATACAGCATTTATGCAGGTGGATATTAGAAGACGTTGCTACTGTGAATAATATGAACATAATTAAGCACAGTTGATATCTTCGTTGCTTTGTTCTTTGCATTTTACAGAATATTATGATGCTATAACTAGTCGAATGAGAGAAGTCTGAACTATATCTTTCTTACTCTAGGGACAAGAAAAATACATCCCACAGGTTGCAGTCTTGCCTCTGGGGACAGGCAACGATCTGTCCAATACACTGGGCTGGGGTGCAGGTTATGCTGGAGAGATCCCAGTTGCACAGGTCTTAAGAAATGTAATGGAAGCAGATGGAATCAAGCTAGACCGGTAAGGTACACTTAGCCAAAAAGGCTGTTTCTGGTGTTTTCAGAGTATTATTTGGCTGTAATGCTAGTACTCAAGAGGCTGAGGCAGGAGTATTGCTGCAAGTTCAAGGACAGCCAGGACTATGTAGTAACTTCAAAGCCAGCCAGTCAGCACAGTGAAACTCTGTCTCACAAGACCGAAAATAAATTAATTTTATTGAGACCTTGTGTCTGTCTGTCTGTCTCTCTGTCACTCTCTCCCTCTCCCTCCCTCCCTCCCTCCCTCCTTCTCTCCATATGTTTTTTCTTTTTTTTTTTTTAATATATATATGTTTTACATAAAATTTTTTGTGGGCCTAAAGTCAAACAACCTAAATGTAAAAGACTATACATAGGTGTTAATGTCTTACTACTATTTAGGGTGGAAAGTTGTAAATTATGCTCAATACTTCCTCACAATTTGCAAGGTTACTTAGATGTGGATGCTTTCTTAAATGCTATTTTAACAGAAAATTTTCATCTACTAGGCATCCAGAGTGCAGGTATTTTGGTAAAAAGTACTAATTCTTTTTTTTTTGAAACTGCTATTTCATAGGTGGAAAGTTCAGGTCACCAATAAAGGATATTATAGCCTAAGAAAGCCCAAGGTATGTTTTCTGTGCTTCAGTTCTAAGTAGTTTGTGTATATCTTGTGTTTTTGAGTTTGGGGGAAGATTTTTTTTTTTATTTTTTGAGACATGGTCTCACTATGGAGTGCAAGCTGGCCTTGCTCAGGCTGGTCTCGAACTCACAATGATCTCCTACCTCAGCCTCCCTAGTGCTGGGATTAGAGGCATGTACCACCATGCTAGTTTCCTGAGTAGTTTTCACAGGCACACATGGAGCGCCTCAGTGGCAGAGATGCCGCAGTCTTTTGGGATACAGGGACCTGGTGCTTGTCCCAGGGGAGCTGGTGATGGAGCAGGAGAGACCCATGTTCCCACCTTGCCCGCATAACGTCATAGGAGAGCAGGCTGCAAGAGCGCGTGGTTCTGCCTGTCAGATCCAGCTGGGAAGACTGCAGAGGAGGTGCCTGCAAGTTGGTCCTAAGATGTAAATACAACTTGCATCAATGCAGAAAGAAACAAGGATTTTTGCCAGAGCATGAAACATGGTTAGCAAATAGCACAGAGATCAGAGATGAGTTGTTTACTGGTGCTGGCTCTCTACTACTGACTAACCACCCCCAACCCACATCTTTATTTTAAAAGGATATTTTTTTTTTTTTTTTTTTTTTTTTTTTTTTTTTTTTTTTTTTTTTTTTTTTTTTTTTTTTTTTTTTTTGTATTTTAGGGAAGGGTCTACAAGGTGTTCAGGGTCTCACTGCTAGATCGGACTGGTAGTGATCTGCCTGTTTATAGCCTCCCAAGAGCTGGGATTACGGGCATGCGCCACCATGCCCAGTCTCATCAGCACGCCACAGGGACGAGGCCGGCACTGCAGGCCTGGGGATCGAACCCCAGGCCTTGCAGGTGTTTTAATCCACTGAGCTATTTGGCCAGCCCCTTAAAAGGATATTCTGGTCAGACATGGTAGTGCATGCCTGTACTCCCAGTGCTCAGGAGGCTGAGGCAGGAGGATTGCCACAAATTCAAGGCCAGCCTGAATTACAGAGTAAGACACTGTCTCAAGACAATAAATAGTAAAAAAGAAAAAGGATATTCTGGAACTGAGGATATAGCTCAGTGGTAGAGCACTTGCCTAGCACATGTGGAGGTCCAGGGTTGAATCCCCAGTACCATAAAAATAAATAAATACCCTGGTCGGACATGTTAGCACGTGCCTGTAATCTAAGCATTCCCGAGGCAGAAACAGGAAGATCATCACAAATTTGAGACCAACCTGGGCTACATACTGTGTTCAGAGCCAGCCTGTGTGTGTATGTGTGCATGTGCGCGTGCGCACGTGTTTCTGTTCCCCTAGAGATAATGTGAAAGTGGCTTAAGAGCCTGCAGTAGGGCAGGAATGAGGGGATTCTTAGGATGAGGTCAGTTCAAGACCTTTCGAAGTTAGAACTGATCAAGGCTGGGCAATTGATTGGTACAAGGGGAAGAGAAAAACATGTGTTACTCTAGGTTTCTAATTTTTATGATCAAGTATGTGGAAATGACATTAACCAAGACAAAGATAGTTTCAGGCTTGGTAGAAAGAAAATGAGTCAGGCTACGACCGTCATCAGCCAAACAGCTGTGGAGAAGCTGGCAGCTGGGCTTGCTGCTCAAGACCAGAGGCTGAGGACCCCAGGCTGAGTGGGGGAGCGAGGGGAGCTAAGGGCCGGCAGCAGCCTGGCATAAGCGCTAGAGCGCTCACACGCGCACACACGCCCCAGTGAGGCTCGGTGGAGCAGCAGAAGGAGCCCTGGGGTGGAGGGCTGGGGTGGGCTTAGGAAACACATGCTGTGTGTGGAAAGTACACACAGAAAGCATTCAGTTCTCAGCACCCAAGACTAGGATTTGCACGTGCAGTGGGCCACCGGGCCTCGGCACTCACCCTTGCCCTGTCCCCCAGGAATTCACCATGAACAACTATTTCTCTGTTGGACCTGATGCGCTCATGGCTCTCAATTTCCATGTTCATCGTGAGAAGGCACCGTCTCTGTTTTCTAGCAGAATTCTTAATAAGGTGTGTTGGATAAAATAACATTTCCTGCTTATCACCGAAGGTACAGTAAAAATCAATAGTTCCGTTATATCTAGTGCTCTTAAACTTGGACCAAACTGACTTACAGAAACATTTACCTGCTGTGTCTCATAGAGGCCTGTTGTGTTCCTAAGTGTATTTTACTAGCAGATTTTTTGAGCCAGAAGTTAGAATGTTTTATAATACATTGTGCTTAGAGACTAAATGAAATAAAGTTGTCATAAGTGACAACTAAATTTGCAAAGAAAGTTTAGGCAAAATAAGATTCTGGCTGAACCATTCATGGAAAAGCATCAGCTTGGAAAACTCGGCGGGACGGACAGGCGAGAAAGGCGCAGCCCGCTTCTGCCGCGCGCAGCCAGCTGGCGCTGCTCGGGCCCCACAAGCACGGAGCCCCTCAGTGCACAGAGCCCCTCGGTGCAAGTCTCGTTTTTGGATTTTCTTACTGACTTGGTGACTGAGCAACAGCATGTGAAAATAAAATCTAAAGCAGTTGTGTTACTGGTCATTTTATATAGTTCACTTTTATGACTAGAGTTACGAAAGCAATAGATACTGCTATTTATAGAGTTGGTAATAAGCATGTCAGCCCTTTTTGTTTCAAGTGTGATTACTAAATGCTTACTTGATTTATCTACATTTTCCTTCATGTATGTAAAATCTGTGGGATTGCTTTAATATTTTGCTTTCATTTTTCATAGGCTGTTTATTTGTTCTATGGAACCAAAGATTGCTTAGTACAAGAATGTAAAGATTTAAATAAAAAAGTTGAGGTAAGCTACTAACACTTTCTCTAAAGATAATTTCTAAATTAAGATTTTTAGTAACAGTACTGTCATTTCTGTTCACATATTTTGCTAACATAAATGAGCATCTGTTTGTGTGCCAAGCCCCTTCATCATTGTTTTTTGGGTTTTTGTTTTGTTTTGCGAAACCGGGGATTGAACTCAGGCCCTTGAGCTTGCTAGGCAAGCGCTTATGCTACTGAGCCATCTCCCCGTCCCCATCATCTTTGTTTTAGGCACTTACGTTATCCTCAGTTCTTACCACAGCCCTGTGGGTCAGTTCCCGTTAGAGTCCCGCTGCACAGAAGGGAGAACCTGTGCACTGCGCAGCGTGCCCGCAGCCACACAGTTGGGGCCCTGGCCTGCCTGGGCAGGGCGGGAGGGAGCCCAGGTTTATCTAACTCCAGAGTCTGCTTCACTGATAGACAGGATGACGAAACCTAAGGTTAGGGAATACGGGGCCAACTTCATCCTGCCGGCTCAGGAGTTTAGAAGCCAAGTTTAGTTGAAATCAGTTGTGTGACGTATCTTTCTGATGTACTCTCTCACTACTTTTCACTGATTGCTGGGACAAAGTACCCTACACCTAGAATGAAGGAAGGAAAGGTTTATTTAGCTCAGTTTGTGGAGGCGTCAGTCCATACTTGGCTGGCTCCAAGGAAGACGGCAGCAGTTCGTGGAAGCAGAAAACAACGAAGAGCAAAGGAGAAGCCGCAGCTGTGGCGTCTGCCAAGCCTCTCTCTCTTCCTTCCACGCCAGCTGCAGACGGGAACTCCCCCAAGGGAGTGGTGGTGGCTGCTGCAAGGTCCGAGCACCTCCGAAGTGGTGCTGCTGCACGGACCAAGCTCCTCCGAGGAAGTGGGCGCACAGAGGCCTTCCTCAACCCCTCTGTATACCTACAAGTGCTCAGTCCCTCTGGGGTGGGCCCTTCCCACACCAGGGCGTGGAGTCACTGAGCCATCCAGCTAAGCCTCGGACCGCTTGAGTTGACACAGTGTGTCACCTACCAGACACACTAAAAAATGACAACGTATAAATAGTACAAGCAGAACACCAGTCATTGCTTACCACTGCAGGAGCCCTGACCTCATGATGCACCAGTCCTGTATATTTTGCTTTCTTGCTTGCGAGAAGAATCTGTAATGAGCACTAGCAACAGACATTGAAAGAAAAACCCAGAACTACTCAGAAGGGGAGAGCTAGCGCGCATCTTGGGCGAGAGTGAATCCTGGGCGCAGAGAGGGAAGAGCCTGGGTACAGTAGCCAAGGAGAGCTGCTGCAGCAGACGCAGAGCTGCATGCCCGCCCGAGGCTGCCGTGTGTGTGTGTGTGTGTGTGTGTGTGTGTGTGTGTGAAGCAGGACTCCATGAGCAAGGCCTGGGCTGCCGTCCTTTGTCCTTCTTCCCTGGCCTGGGCATTGACAGTACTGGTAGAGCAAAGCATGTAAGATAGCACTTTCTTTTATTGCTGAACATTTTTTTAAAAATTTTATTTATTTATTTATTTATGTGTGTGTGTGTGTGTGTGTGTGTGTGTGTGTGTGTGTGTGTGGCCAGCTCAGCCCACCAGGGGGTGGGGCGGGCTGGCATGTGGTGCTGGGGGATTGAACCGTGGTCCCTGTGCTTGCTAAGCTTGTTCTAAGTAGGTGCTTTAGACCACTGAGCCATCTCACCAGCACCTATTGCTGAACATTTAATTTATACAAAAGTTGTTTGTGAAGTCACCACAAAAGGCCAGGTACTCTCCATGTGTGGTGTTATGTGATTATAATCCCAACAGTAAGGATGCTGAGGCAGGAGGATCACTGTGTGTGCAAGGCCAACTGGACTACAGAATAAGTCGCTGTCTTAAAAACAGAACAAAGTCAGACACTAGGTACTGCAGAAACAGAGCTAAATCTCTTACTGTAAGCTCAATTTGGGGGAAAAAAAGGTATTTCAAGCACAGTGCGGGGCGGGGGAGATGGCTTAGTAAAATAAGTGCTTGCCTGACAAGCACAAGGGCCTGAGTTCAATTCCTGGTTCTGGAAAAAAAAAAAACAGTGCAGCACAACATGGAAACATATGATGAATGTGTGTGTGTGTGTGTGTGTGTGTGTGTGTGTGTGTGTACAGGAATAAATCAGAGCAGCCCAAGCCCCAGGGGCTGCAGAGACCATGTAGGAAAGTGACAGTGATGGGAAATCATTCTAGAAGTGAAAAATGAAGCGCCAGCTAAGTGAAGAAGGAAGACGCGACTGTCTGGGCTAAGAACCACATACGCAGAGGGCCCCAGGGTGGGGAAGCGTGGCCTGCAGGGAGCACGGGGCTGGGGCTGGTCAGGTGGACAGAGGCCAAGCCACAGCGGCTGTTTAGGAACCGTTTCCTGGTGAGCAGAGCAGGCCCTGAGGGTGTGTCCTGTGTCAGCCCATCTGCTCTGTGAGGGGCCCAGAAGAGGAGTCGGGCCAGCCAGGAACATCTGAGGAAGACACGATGGTCCTCCAATAAGGTGCCGTCAGGAATGGTGGAAATAGCATGAGTTTTAAATTGATTGGATGAAGAAGATGACTCACAGGTTCCTGGCTTGGTGAGGTCAGGGGCTGTGCTATTTGCTAGGAAGCAGGTTATAGAGAAGAGTTGGTTTGACTCCTGTACATAGGAATCTTAGGTGGCACCATCAGCAAGTGCTCTGCAGGCATTTGCATTTGTGGATGTGGCGCCGTGCACTGAAACAGCACTGTCAAATGGGCATGGCGGTACACGGCTATAGTCCCAGGTACCAGGCAGGAGAATTACAAGTTCGTGGCCAGCCTGGGCAATTGAGGGAAACCTCATCTCAAAAATTTGAAAACAGGCTGGGAATGTAGCTTAATGGTGAAGAGCCCCTCAGTTCAACTCCAGATGTGTATATGAGATGGATGGATGGGTGGATGGATGGATGGATGGATGGATGGATGGATAAATAGATAAGCACAGAGACAGCAGTTAAAGTTTCAGAAGTAGCCAGGTGTGATGGTGCATGCCTATAATCCCAGCACTCAGGAGGCTGAGGCAGGGGATAACTGAGTTTGAGGCTAGCCCAGGCTACAAAGCCAGGCCCTGTCTCAACAAAACAAAACGAAGCTATAGGGCCCATGGTAGCACGTGCCTGTAATTTCAGCTACTGGAGAATCTGAGGCCGAGGCAGGAGAACTGTAAAGTCAAAGCCAGCCTGCAAAACCTAACTAGGTCCTGCCTCAGAATAGATAGTGTTGTGACATAGCTCAGTGGCAGAGCGCTGGCCTGGCTGTGTAGAACCCTTGGGTTGATCCCCAGGACCACGGAAAGGATCTGGAGTAGGCGGACCTTACCCTTTGTGAGAAGAGGTGGCTGCCAGCTATGGAAAGCCACCGGGTGAAGCCAGCGGGGTGCGAGTTGGGGGTGCAGCGTGTGTGCAGGCAGCGCCCCGTCATAACTAACTATCTGCATTTCTTTAAAGCTAGAGCTGGATGGCGAGCGAGTGGAACTGCCCAACTTGGAAGGCATCATCGTGCTCAACATTGGCTACTGGGGCGGCGGCTGCAGGCTGTGGGAGGGGATGGGAGACGAGACCTACCCTCTCGCCAGGTGGGCACGGTGCACTGTCTGATGTCACTGCTTCCTTAAGGCACCCTGCTGGTTTTCACAGGTTTCTCATTTCTCAGTCAGATTTTCTGTTCTGTGCCTTCATTAATATGAACACTTAATAAGTGGATGGCCCACGAGTGTTAAAAAGTGGCTGTCCTCAGTAGCCTGGCAGCGCATGCCCGTGATCCCAGTCTGGGAGGCCAAGGCAGGATGGCACGTTCAAGCCTCCCCTGGGCAACTTAGTGACTTAAGAGACCTCATCCCAAAAGCTTAGGAAGGGTGGGGTTTGCAGCACTGTGCAGAGGCCCTGGGTTTAGTCCCCAGTGCCTGAAAAAAGAAAAAAATTAGCCTGTAATCCCATTACTCAGGAGGCTGAGGCAGGAGGGTTGTTGTGAGTTCAAGGCCAGCCTGGGTTACATAGTGAGACCCTGACTCAAAAACAAAAGAAAAAGATTACCAAAGGAACTGCCATGTTGCCAACGAGCTGCCCTTGCTCTGTGTGACCCGTATCCCATGGTCCCGTTAGGCACGACGATGGCCTGCTGGAAGTTGTTGGCGTGTACGGGTCTTTCCACTGCGCTCAGATTCAAGTGAAGCTGGCAAACCCCTTCCGCATAGGACAAGCACACACGGTGCGGGTAGGTGAGCCGGGCGCCGTGGCTGGCAGGCCTGCCAGGCGCGTCCTCAGCAGCAATCATGGCCCGCGCTGTCAGTGACCCTGTGCCAGGGCTTGCGTGGGTGGGGAGGTAACAGGAGGCAGAGCCCTCAGTCCAGTTGAAATGCAACAGGATTAAGTGCTCACAGGTGGCACTAGCAAAGACCTTTCTGAATCTTTTTTTTATTAATTATTTCTTTCCCACCACCAGCTGATCTTGAAGTGCTCCATGATGCCGATGCAGGTGGACGGCGAGCCGTGGGCCCAGGGGCCCTGCACTGTCACCATAACTCACAAGACCCGTGCTTTGATGCTTTATTTCTCCGGAGAACAGACCGACGATGACATCTCCAGTGCTTCAGATCAAGAGGATGAAAAGGAAGCTGAATACACAGACGAAGACGTACAGATGTAGTGTGTCGCCCACGCAGACCCGAGGTGTACGGTCACCCAGGAGGAGGGCTTCTGTACCAGCCGTTCATTCCCGCTTCTCTCATGGTGTGCCAGGTCCACCTTTGTGTGTGTTGCATTCCCCGAGCAGCCAAATTTCCATTTCTTGCAAACACCTGTTTTTTTCAGCAAGATACTTCAGTTATCTATAACTAACTTTGAAAAAGCCACAGAAAGCATGAAGATGAATTTTTTTTTTTACAGCTGGGTTTATAGCTCAGCGGCACAGCACCTGCCTGGCAAGCTCAAGGTCATGAGTTCAATTCCTGGTAGAAAAAAAAAATTCTCAGCTGTATCGTGGGAGTAGGGTCTCCCCGAAGTGTGTGCTCATTCCTTCGCTCGAACAGCACACCCTGGGTGGACAGTACATGGGCAGGAAGATTGCTTCGGTCCTGATGCTTAATGCGGTGGCTCCACACCACGCTGGAAGCCAGTTTGCTCTTTGTGAAAGGAAATGGTTTGTGTTAGCCCACATGGTTGGCATAGGACGTCCCGTGGAGCGTGGCTCTGGGGAGCGCCTGTGCCCCAGAGCGAGTCCTGCGAACTGATTTCCAGGAAACGCTTTGGTGGGCACGTAAGAGAAAGACAAAACGTGAACTGTTTAAGCCTCCAGTTTTCTTTCTGGGGTGCTGGGGATGGAAGCCGGATCCTTTCAGGCTCTAGGTTCAGGCTCTAGGCTGAGCTGCACCTGGTCCCAGGACCCTGCTCTGTATCGAAAGAGAAGCAGATGGGTGAACTGTTCTAAATAACGTTTAGGGCACTTTGGATTGAAAGTTACGGGTTCCAAACTGGACAGTTCACCAACTTCTCTTTTGATTAGAAGACAGTGTCCACAACTAAAAAATTACATATA